GCGTTTGCCCGGCCATTTAAATTAACAATATTTAATTATTTTATATTAGAGGCATTTCTTAACCGATATCAACGATTTTTTTTGTTCAATTTGTAATTATATGAACTATTTTTTAAAACCATTATTTAAAAACATGCATTTTCCTCATTGCAAGGCCATTATTGATGAGTTTTACATATCCATTTTGTGTACTTAACTGTTTAATTAACTGTTTTTTTTTGTTATAATTTCTAGGATATAAATTAAACTCTAATTGTAATTTTTGGATATTATTCGCACATGTAATGTTTCAAGATTATGCATGTACTTTAATAGACCTTGAGGATTCCTCAACATCCAAAAAAGGATGTTAAATAAAGTACTTCTTAAACGTTGGTGACGCTGTTGGGCTATCTCCTGCACACACACCTATACACGTTATAGAATACACGAGGCGGCATGTAATTTGACGTTAAAGCGTTAGTAAAATTTTGTGGGGGGTATTCAAATACCTCATGCCGGTACTGAAGGATTAGTTTGCAATAAGGCATTATTGGTCATTAAATTTTAGTTCATCTTATGATTTCTGGATCCACAACGGCCACCCTGGAATTTGGGACAATCTGTATAAGAGAACTAAATTTAGAAGGTATAGGTTATATAGGTATACATTTTTAATACAAAAACTGTACGCACCACTAAGTATTTCGAGTGCTTAACCTAGAAACTAGTCGAAACTACGCCCTTAAATATATTATACCCCTTCGTAAAAATACCGCGTGTTACGCCCTTCTATTGGTCGTAAATTTACGATTGCGAGACCAAATTAAACCGTTCCGTTATATTTCCATTCCTATGTCCCTGGCAGTTCTCTAATTATAACTGGTATAAGATAGGCCCGATAGCCACTAAATAATCCACTTATATGACGTTCATAAATAAAGATATTAGTTATTTTACTTAATTATTATCCTACTGTATATTCTAAGCGGCCTGTGAGTGTGTCGAGGTGCGTTTGTTTAGAATTTAGATGTATACAGTGTCTCAAAAGGGCATGAATCAACTGTGTTATGTACAAGTCTATTTTATTACGAAATAAAATATATATTACGAGTTAGCTGAATGTTTTTTTTAACAATTTTATTAGATTTAAAAAAATATATTTTCAAAGTGCTTTATAACATACTTATGTGTCCCTCATAATGAAACAAAGTCTTGAATCATTCAACATATGACCGATTTTGAATGACGAATGACCGAATGATACTGTCGATTCTCTAGACGGTTTTCCGTCATAATTCAAATGAAGTAAAAGTAAAAGTGTTTTAATTTAATGTCTCCTTTTTCCTGCTAAGGCTACGAGTAATCTAGATGAGACCTACTTTGTTTACGCGTAATCCAAACCGCGGTCCTCGGCCATTTCATTGTCAATGGCCTACCGACTGGGCGAATGTCTAAATCGACTCTATCCACAACAGCTGGGTTTCATTCATAGGATTCGGTATTTACTGCAGTATGATGATGCTACCATGATTTTTCTTATTTCTTATATTTGTGATTTGTTCTTGGATTAATAATGTTAAATATATATTATACATATGTATATTGCCTACTTATCTTAATCTGAGCTTTGAGAACTTTATTTATATTTTGACTTACGCCTGGTATTATTTTTGAAATGCTTTGCTTGGAAACTTTGAATAAATAACCCAAACTGGTATGTGAGTCTCTAGTTGCAAAGTTTCTTAATGATATGGCCAATCTTTATTTAGCTCTTTCTTTAACATGAATACGCTTTCTAAAAGTTGTATTTTTCCTTTCTATACGAGGGCCAACTAAGTTGATAAATCTTTCAAAATCAGTTGCGGACATGCAATAAAATCAGTTGCGGACATGCAATAAAAAATATTAAAAAAACATTGTGTCTGTTTGTAAATCACGTAGATGTTTACTTTCACTGTGTAATTAACTTGTAATAATAATAATAGCCCCGTATATAGCGTTTAATGCCTTGGAAGTAGCAAGGTACAACTTGCCATGCAAGAGCCGTTCGGTACCTATATAAGGAAGGTTATGTGGCTAGCACCACGCTTCAACCGTCTATTATTACCTCAGGATTGTGAATCCCAAGTACTCATTTAAGGCTGGGTCGACCTAGGCACCCAAACTATTTTTATTTTATTAAAAACAGTCGGCTGATGAAATGCCGGCTGTAGGATTCGAACCCACACCCATCAAACTGGTAGACGAGAGCTGTACCACTACGCCACCGGGCACCCATGGCATGGGATCTACTTTTGAAATTATTAGACATCCAACACCGCCTTTTGCTCTCTTTTCTTCTTTGTTTTGCTATAATGATCCCACTAGCAGCCGCTATTAAAAATACTTCGGTATCATCCATGTCCGAACAGCACGAACGCAAGCACTACATTACAATGTAGACGCCGCGCTGTTGCTTGCGAGCCGAAAGATCTTGAGAAACACGACAAACAAGGGTGGACACACCTTTATAGAACTTTTTAGACCAAGTTCATTTTTTATTAATATGTCTACAGTTATTATTTTCAAGAAGTTAATTATCTTGATTTCCCTCACTGTTGATAAACTGTCTCTCTATCTGAACATTAGCTTTTTTTCTATCTAAATTTTGTTAAATTACTAATTGCTCTAAAGATCACTAAAAACTCTATAATTTTAATTTATTAAGATAATATGTAATACATAGTAGTACATAATACACTAAATATAACTAAAAAAGATGAATAAGTTCTTAGACGAATCACACCTTTAATTACCACGTATATAGAACGACGTCAATGACGTGATAAAGTAGCCAATAAGAAGAGGAAGAAAACATTAATATGCCGTATATGCAGCTAATCTTTGACAGTCGCTAGTTATTTATATGAGAAGTAGGTACTTTCCAAGATCATGAAAGGAATACATTATGTAATAAATCCGTAATAGTAATTACGAAATAAGGAATATTATAAGTAGTAAATGCAGCTTTTCTGTCAGGTGTGCCTATAGATATAGAATAAAAGATAGACCAACAAAATGTAAACAAACGATTGGTTTATTTACAATTTGATTTGACAACAGATTATATTATATTTTTTTGAGGTTTCTAGGGGCTTGTTCCACTGCGACCATTTCATTTGGTTGTGTGGTACTCTTCTGATGATAAGTTACAATCTCAAGTCCTATCCTTTTCAAAAACTATTTATAACTTGGACGCTGAATCTTTCATATAGCTCTATGTCAATGGCTTATCATAATATAAATAAACGTACATTTGCCAGGCTGTCGCACTGACATAAAATGTGATCTGTCATTTATTTCTTAGATTGACAAAATCTGCAAATGACTTCGTCCAAACTTAGTACGTCAATCCCATCATCTTTATATACGTATTAATCTTAAAATGCCTTATTAATAGGACCACTACAGCTTTGAATGTCTTCCAGTCTTTGCTTAGCAGGTTTGCCGTAAATTTTGGAGAATGTTCTACTATGAATTTTTTCACCTATCTCTGCCCTGATGAATATGTCTATTTAACCACAGATTAAATGTAATCCTTTTCTTTTAAGATTTGTCAACGTCACTGGCGTTAACTGGGTCTTAATATAAACAGAAAACCAGTGGTAAATAAATAAATGTCCCTGTACCTACAATTAATTCAGTTTTAAACCACATTGTTCAGTTTTTTATTATTTTTTTTCTGTTTATTATTATAAGTCAAAATAATTATAAAGTTCAAAGAATATATATGCAAATTTATTTAGTTTGTTCTTGAGATAAGTTCAAACTATAAAAATAAGCAAAGTTGAATCGACATGGAAATTATAGCTAAGGTTACATGTAAAAAATAGCTACCCGCATTTACATCAATTTAGTCAGGACAAGCTATCATTAAATATTTTAAATTTACTTATCTCTTCTCTTAACTATATTTGTCTAAAGAGTAAACATGCAATTATACAAGGCGATTCGAATTTATTAAAAATAAAAAAATTAAAAATAATCTTTATTATTTTGACATTGATTCGTTGAAGACTAACGAAAAGATAGATGAAATGGATAAACAAGGCTTATCATGTAGTAAACAAACAAACATTCATAGGCCCAGAATCCTTCTGCGGCCGCGGCGTTGTAAAAGCAGTTAGAAGAATGGTTACAAAACCGTGGGTGGCCAAAAAATTTCTAGAATGGTGAAGAAAATTCACCAGAAGATATTACGACCGAAGTGATAATAAAGGCAGGAGAATCGTTAAATCTGTAATGAGTTGATAAACACAGCATTGTAAGCTTAATATCCATCTAAAGATGACGGATGAAGCCATGTGAAGGCTTTGTTAATCTAAAGAAGAAATAACAGAACAAATGTTATATCGGTGCGACAGCCTGGCAAATGTGCGGTTCCTTGTATTAGGCAGTGGATACGCAATTAATAGATAGCTATATGGAGAGTTTAGTCTCCAAGTTATTAGAATTTTTGAAGGATTTTTTGATGTTGAAAGGATAGGACTACAGAATATAACCTAAAGCAGAAGATCCACAATAGATCTAAAATGGTCGCAATGGAACAGGTCACCAGTGGATAACCACCTCAAAAAAATCTAACGAAATCTAAATTCTCTGATATTTTCCGAGATCCAAGTGACCACCTTCCAATTTAAGGTACCTTTTATAATTTTATTCTTATAATACATTATCAACTTTATTTCTCCTAAAAGAACTGGGCCGCTTATCATCTACAGTAGGTGTGTCCCCATATCTTTACAAGAGGAAAAAGTGGGTACTTTCGGTATGGAATTTGAAAAAGTATACACGGGATTCGCTATTTTAAAACAAGCAAAGAGTTTCTTGCAGTATACATTTTTCTCCAAAAATTTAATAGTAAAAAAAATCCTCTTGTAAAGACAATCCGGATGACTTTATATTACTTTATCAAATATTATGACAAAATTTTACATCTTAATCATCTAACTTAAAAAACCTAATAGTCTTGTACTTACCAAGTTATTAGAAACAGTAATTCCCTCTTTTTCTTCACTCCCATCCTCAACTTTCCTCCTCACAATTTTACTAACTCCATCTTCTACCTCCTCTTGCTCGTTCCTCAAGAAGGGCGAGACAGAATTAATATCACTTTTTTCTATATTCTTCTTCGATTCACTATTACAAAAAACTTCACCTCCCCCTTGATCAACGCTAGTTCTTTTCTCTAAAAAAGCACCCTCACTTTGTTGTGATCTATTCTCGCTGATGTTACACTTACTCAACTTGTTACCACCCATAGCAATGTCTTGCCTAAAACTCTCTAAAACTATTTGTTTATGCTTAAAGGAAGTCTCGTCGTATAGAGTTTCCTCTAAGGAGAAAAAATCACAGTCCTCCGAAGTTATAGTTGCTTCGCTTTGAAGACTATTTAGAGCTGATTCGAAATGATCAAAACTTCCAGAAGCTATGTCTTTAGTGCTGTTAATATCTTCCGGCTCTTTGTTGTCATCTTTTTCATTTGGTGGACCTTTAACTTGAATAACACTGGCTACCTCAAACTTAACTCTTTCATGTATCTCTAAAGGTTTCACTACAACAGCATCTTCAAAAACTTCTTCCAATTCGTTGATTTCACTCTCACAAACGAGGTTTTCTAATCTAGGATCTACGTACCAAGAGGATTTCGAATCGAAACTGCTGTAAGACTTGCTGGTGCCCAAGGCATTTTTGCACTTCTTCAAGTACTTTTTCACTTTCTTAGTTTTGCTAGTTTGTTTTGATGACGTAGAAGAGGAGGAGGTTGAGGGTTCTGGACTTTTTTCTTTTGAAGAAGTTTCTTCTGGTGTCGGTTTCCATGATTCCTCGTCGTATGTTACTGCTCTTTGGTTGCTTGGAGTAACCTGAAATAAAAAAGAGAGTATTTTAAATATAGTTGAAGTGTTATAAAAATAAATTTTAGTTTATTTAACGAATCATAGTTTTTAAATTTAAAACGACTGTAAGAAACATGTTAACAAAAACCTTACCGGAAACATAGAAACAAGAGAAAAATGTGGGCAAAGATTGAACGCGTCGTTCATGTGAACGAGTAGTAAAAATGATTCGTGAAATTCAATTCTCTGAATAGAATACCGTTCATTCAATAAAATACGGCGTACGGCGCCGTACGGCTCTCGTACGGCGCCGAATATCCAAGGAAAACGGTAGTTTATATCGAAATGAAATTTTGGCAGCGTATGTAGATTAAATTAAAACATTTTTTACAAATATATAGAATTATACAGGGTGTCCCCAAAAAAAGTTACACATCAAAGTTGCAGTTTTTTCTAATGGAACACCCTATATATTAATTGATTTTCGGATTCTAGGAAGAAAATAAAGGTGTGTTTTATTAAAGAAGCATATACCTAAAATCTAAGGATTTTGACATATTTCATATTTTGTGAAAATGAAGAGTCAATTTTAAATTTGGATAACAGCTACCTAAATTTTAGTTGACCTTGTATAGCCTGTTATTTAATTACAGTAACCGTTGTTTGTTAAACCAAATTGAAATTTGACCCAAAAAGTTATACAGGGTGAGACAAAATTAATATGGAATACTCTAGTAATAGTATGGATCTTTATTATTTGAAAAAATCTAGGGTGGCTGTGTGATATATCTTTTGTTAATTTAACAAAAATTAAAGATTGTCGAGTAAAATACTCAACGAAAAGTAGGTATAAAATCATAATTATGATCAAAATTAGCTAGATGAAATCAAATGCTCAAAATGCTTCCTTTCCTGTTAACTGCATAAAATGATTGTCTTTCAAAAGGATCTTTTCATTTTAAAAGGCATATGTGGGTTCTACCTCTAAAAGCAGCTACAATAATTTCTCTCATGTTGTCGACAATAGTTGGCCGAGTTTTGTAAACACTGTCTTTAACATATCCCCAAAAAAATCAGACTAGATAAAATCAGGAGCATTTAAGTATTCTATTAATTGGTGAATGCACGCTGCATTCACTAACTAATAGAATCATATCAATTCTCTCTGATGTAGGATAAGTTTGCATTTTCGGTAAATTTTTGAGAAATTTCTTTTGTTTTAACTGACACAAAATGATAACTAGTTGTTAAAGTTGAACTAATTTGACAGGTATGTTGAAGTGGCGTAGACATATCACAGCCACCTAGATCTTATCAAATAATAAAGATCTACTCAGATCAAATCATGCAAATGAAAATATCTAGAAAAATCTTTATTTGAGGGTTAAGTAACCTTAATAGTATTTTGAAGAGACATGAATTCTCCATTGAATATCGGAATAATATACTGGGTGTTTCATTTAAAATAAAAGAGTAACATGCTTTTAAAGATGACCAATGTGCAATATTAATTTTATCTCACCCTGTATAACTTTTTGGATCAAGTTTTAATTTGATTTAAATTACAATAGTTAATTTAACTACATATTAGGCTATAGCAGGTAAATTCCAATTCAGGTAGCTTTTATTGTAATTTAAAAATTGTTCTTTATTTCTAGAAAATGTTAAATATGTCAAAAATCTTACATTTTAGTCATATACTTCTCTTATAAAACTCACCTTTATTTTTCTTCCAGAATCTGAAAATCAATTAATATATTCCATACATGTTCCATTACAAAAAAGACAACTTTGATATGTAACTTTTTTGGGGGATATCCTGTAGAACTCTCTATATTTTTAAAAAGTGCTCTGAATTAACCTACATATATGCTCATAAAATTTCATTTCAATACAAACTGTCATTCTCCTTGGAGCCTCCGCGGCGTATGAGAGCCCCTGTATGTTTCAATTGAACAAAATATGTTTATTGTTTGTTCAAATGAACGAATCGTAAGAGTCGATTCATTATGGAAATCCAATCGTGTGATACGATTGACTAAAAAGAATCGTAATGCTCATCACTCTGAAAGAGTGCATCTACCAGGTACTTTGTAAAGGCGGTGAGTCGGTTATTGGAGGTACTGAACGCCCTTGAATGTTCGACTTAGCGAATAGAAAAAAAATCTTTAAAGAGGTGAAACAATGCAGGCAGGTATTGCAGATCATATATGGTCCACATTGAAATAAATCATAGTTATTATAGAAATCGTTGTGCGTAGCTGTGTATTAAATTAAAAGTTGATCAGTAACTCATTGACAATTTGGTGAAGGAGTCATCAAAACCAGTAGGTTAATGGTTTTAATTCTATACTGGTGGTGTATGATGGTGTTGTATTTCGTCCTATTGCTGTCAAAAGTCACTAACTTACTTTTTATTACTTCCGAGAAAAACGCGTCTAAAGATTAATTACCTACATTGCATAAAGTTGTTGTTAGTGACTATTCTGTATTAAAATACAGCATAAATAGCCAGAAATCGTAGTTAATGACCGTTGCAATGGATTCTCCGCTTCAATATATAGTTAGTTATTGAATTTTCAGGTTAATCGGAAAAATGTCGGTTAATTACTTTTGGCAGCAATAGGACGATTTATTGGTAAATAATAGCTTTATTTATTATATTTCTTTGAGTATAGATGCTAAGGAAGAAGTTTAATGTTATTTATATCTTCATGTATTACGGAATCCGCATCATTACCCCCCATTTTTTGACAGTTTTGTTTGAAGTTTCAATTGGCAACCTCTGCACCCCTCACAGCACATAAGTATCATAAGGTCTTCTTTGAACTTATTTCCTAATTACTCGGTTGTTTTTAAATATGATTGTAATATTAGGTATACAGGTTGGTCCGAACTGTATTCCGAAAACTTTGGTAACATATATTCTGCATCTAAAAATAAGCAAAAAAGTTTGTATAAATGTATGTCCTGAAATGCTTAGTTTTGGAGATACAGTTTCATTTTTATTTCGATATTTGGATGTAAATTGGCGCGTGGGAGTTTTTTGACATGATTCATACTTATAGAGGGCAGGCGCCCTAGAGGTAGCCTTAGGTAGGCCCTAAGGCATATTGGCGATTTATATAAATAACTATTTTTATTTTTTAAATAAATAGAGACCGTACTGGCTGGGGATCGAACCCAGTAGCTCTCGCACCGCAGATCGACACACTATATACTGCTGGAGCTACGGCCGTCCACTAAGTAATGTCTATCTAAGTCTAAACTAAGTACTTTATATTTTTACACGTTTTAAATAAGATTAGAACGGCACTGATATTGTTGATATTTGATATACTCCTTCTTTACATTATACATATAATTTTGTTTCTTTAAGCAATATTCAAAGCAATATTTCTTTATTTCAACTCCATTTTTATTTTCATCTGAACTTTTTTGGAGCGTTGTCCTCTTACAACAAATATAATTATAATTAATATGACAGGTTTGTTTCTTCCTACAATAACACAAACAAGTTTCAACAATAATATTTATGGCTTCTGGAATTTCATGTTCATACATTTTTACTCTTCGAATAGCGTTAAGGCATAAAGTTTTTAAACGTGATAAATCATTGTGCAGGATTCGCATTTTAGGAATGAATTATTAATTATCGTCGAATTTACCGCACCGGCTAGCTCGTTAATCAGAAATCGCACGAGGATTTTGACAAAGATCGTAAATATACGATAATTCATTTAGTAATTACAATCACCGATTGCTTGTAGGTTAACGGATCTATTATATCTATATATGTATTTATAAGAAATTATACACTAAAGTTAAAATACCGTATGATCGAAAAATACCCTATGATCGATTTCATAATCATCGCGTGAAGTTGACACCCCCCTGCCATATCTCCCGAAATTAACCAGAACTATTTGTCTAACTTATTAAGAAGTATAGAACTATTGTAAATCTCTCCAGAACTCTCAATTTCTAGCTCATTTTTCGAAAAACGGGTGCCAACTTCACACGCGAATATATCTGGGTAGATAATCATTATTTAATAACAAACATACTCGCAAAAATATCAGGCTACCTGAACCACCTAAATTGACGTATTCCAATTATTTTTGACGCCTTGTAAATAAAAACGAATATTCGAGAAAAAAGATATCCCGTCAAAAACATAGAATGTAAAAAAAATGCCAAATCTCGCAATACAATTCTTCCACTAGAAAAAGTTCATGTAAAACCAAAGTTTACAGAATAAAATATGTAAAACCAAGTCAGTTTATTTTATTTAGTCTCCCTTTAAGCACTTATTCAACAATTTTGTTAAAAATTGTTAACATCAATATTAGCCATCTTTATTTCTGTAATAATTATAATGACTTGGCAATTACACAGCACCATAATTATAAAGAATAATCTGCAATCTTGACTACTAAGTGTACTAAGTAATCTAAACAGTGCCCTTAAAATTAAAGTTATTTTTAATTAGAATAATTTAATTAAAATTACATGTTGTGCAATTGCCATGTCATTATAATTATTACAAAAATTAAGATGGCTAATATTGATACTAACAAATTATATCAAAATTGCTGAATAGGTGCTTAAAGGGAGACTAAATAAAATAAACTGACTTGGTTTTACATGAGATCCCACAACTGTTTATAGTGGAAGAATTTGGTTGCGAGACTTGGCATTTTTTACATTCTATGTTTTTGATAGAATCTCATTTCTTTTTGTAGGTTATCTTTCGATTTTTTTCTCGGGTAATATATAATTTAAAATAATATTAAAGAGGTTTAACTAGCAATCTATACTAATATATAAAATCCTTAAGTGACTGACATACTGATTAATCACGATCCTGCTCAAACCACTCAACGTAAGAAGCTCAATTTTGGCATACAGGTTGATTCTAGGGTGTAGAGGTTCGATAAGAAGGGATTTTTCGAAATTCCAGTTCCAAGAGATTACAATATTTTTTATTTAAAAAACAGTCAAGTTTCCGAAAAAACGCTTAAACA